ATGGATACTGTGTGCTGTTGTGTTGTCTTTAAACTGTTTAATTGCTAAGGAACAAAAACTGCTAAAAGACATTTGACAATCAATACTGCTAAAATAATCCAACTTACATATTGTGAAAATTCTTTGACTTCTAAATTTAAATATAAGGACAGGTTACTTGGGAAAAAAATTTCTGCTTTTCTTTCCACAGAAAATAAAAAGCTGTGGGTTCCTCCCAGACTAGATGGTATTTCAGTGCCCCTTAACAGCAGGAAGTAGTTTGGGAAGAACGATGCCCACATTCCCAAATATTGTTTGTAAATGTTTGTTTGCATTTATACAGGGTTGGTTATTACTACAAATTTAAGGTCAATTTTGTGAGTCATCTCTAAAAACTTTTTACAAGGAGTGGGTATGGCTGTAGCCTCTGAGAAAAATAGCAAAAGCCTATAACATGGCCTGAGAGCCAAAGAAATCAGTATGGAAGATTCTATAGAGTAGCAAACAGTTCAAACAAAATTTCAAAAAACAAGAAAGGGGGAGATGTTGGGGCCTAGCCCCCACAGGGTGTCTGAGTTGTTTGTCAGCTGATAGCCACAGGTGCATCCTGTTTTCTAGTCCTGGCTTACTGCCCCCTGCATTGCCCCACTGACATCAACATCTAGCACGAGGAAAACATGCTCTCTTCCACCTGGGGTTTTCTACTGTGTTATAAGACTATATATAAGACTGCTCCCTCCTACAAGAGAGAGACCTCTTAACACTTGCAATGAAGACACACACACACACACACACACACACACACACATTTTCCTGGCAATAAAGACACTTCTTAGTACAAACAGCTGGACATCTGATCTTTCTTTTCCTGATACCTGGACTAGTTTGTGGCGTGGGCTACACCAGCTTGCTTCTTAGAGGGTCATTTGCTTGCAAAATCTTTTCCCAACCCTTAACTCTGAGGTAATGTCTGTCTTTGAAGGTGAGGTGTGTTTCTTGTATGCAGCAGAGGGATGGATTCTGTCTTTGTATCCATTCTGTTATAGGTAAGTTAAGACCATTGATACTGAGTGATATTAATGACCATGGATTGTTGATTCTTGCTTGGATTTGTTTTTGGTGGTGGTATTATGTGTGAGCTTTCCCCCTATTTCTGGCTTTTTGTAAAGTGGGATTGTCTATTGCCTATGTTCTTGTAAATGTAGTTATCTCCCTTGGTTGGAGTTTTCTTTACAGAATTTTTGTAGGGCTGGATTTGTGAATATGTATTGTGTAAATCTGGTTTTGTCATGGAATATCTTGTTTTCTCCATCTATATTGATTGAGAATTTTTCTGGGAATAGTAGTCTGGGCTGGAATTTGTGGTCTCTTAGTATTATTAGGATATCTATCCAGGACCTTCTGGCTTATAGAGTTTCCATGGAGAAGTCAGGTGTAATTCTTATAGGTTTGCCTTTACATGTTACTTGACCTTTTTCCTTTGCTGCTCTTGATATTTTCTCTTTATTATGTATGTTTTGGGTTTTTACTATTATGTGGACTTTTTTTTTTGGTCCAGTCTATTTGGTGTTCTGTAAGCTTCTTGTACGTTCATAGGCATGTCCTTCTTCAGGTTGGGAAAGTTTTCTTCTATGATTTTGTTGAACATGTTTTCTGTGCCTTTGAGGTGGTTTTCTTCACCTTCTCCTATACTTATTATTTTTAGGTTTGGTCTTTTCACGATGTCCCATGTTTCCTTGATATTTTGTGTTAAGGATTCATTGGATTTAAGATTTTCTTTGTTCAATGAATCTATTTCCTCTAGTGTATCTCCAATCTCTTGCATTCTGTTGTTGCATCTGTAGTTTCTAATGTTTACCCAGCTTTTCTATTTCCAGCAATTTCCCAGTTTGCATTTTCTTTATTGTCTCTATTTCATTATCAGGTCTTGAACTGTTTGAATTGTTTCCTTCATCTGGTTGACTGCTTTTTCTTGGCTTTCCTTGATTTCTTTAAGACCTTTGTTGTTTTCTTGCATTTTTTTGGTTTGTTTTTTCTTCCATTTCTTTAAGGGATTTTCTCATATCCTCTTTGAGGACCTTTATAATTTCCATGAAGTTGTTTTTAAGGTCACTCTCTTCTGCTTCATCTGCACTGGGATGTTCAGGTCTTGGTGGTGTAGAGTCCCTAGACTCTGGTGGTGTCATATAAGTCTTCCTGCTATTGAATGTGTTCTTATAATGTTGTTTTCCCATCTCTCTTCCAGTGGGTACAGGTGGAGTCTCTCTCTCTCCTCCCTCTCTCTCTGTCTCTTCCCCCCTCCCCTCTGAGGGTGGCTGGCGGCCACTGGTCAGGTGACTCGAAAGAGGGGAAGGTGGCCTGGGAGAGCCCCTGGCACTCGACTCTGTCTACCTACTTGCTATGGGCCTGAGGACGATGTCAGGGCCCAGGCCTGAGTAGCCCTGCAGGAAGATGACTTGATGGTAGAGTTGGAACTGCCAGGCTAGTTCTTCTCTGTTCTTGCTATGCCCCTCTCCTATCTGGACTCTGGGGACCTTCTGCAAGGGATTCTGAGAGTGGAAGGTACCTGGGAAATCCACCCAAGCTGGGACCACCCAGGGGAGCTCTCTCTGGGAATGTCTGAGCTACTGGAACTCCTGTTACTCTCTGGTTACTGAATGTTTTAAGGGATACTCTGAAGTTCCCTTGGACCTAGTTGACCTTGGAGGACAAGAGAGAAAACATTTTCCCTTTTTATTCTTCTAATGTTGGCCCCTAAATATGGTTGTTAAACGTGTGTGCTCAGATATGTTAATATGCACACCGGTGTGTTGTGCTATGACTATTCTTTGCTTCCTTTGAGACAAAGTCTCTCACTTGCAGGGAGCAATCTTATACTTTGTTTAAAGGACTAATAGTCCTGCAGTAGCCTGCTGGAAGGAGCCCCTCCTGCCCTACCGCCTCCATTCCCTGAGGACTTTGCCTCTTGGAGGGATCCCTAGCTCCCCTTAGCTCTCTCCCCTGGCTCCCCTCAGCTTTTCCTCTTAGCCCTCAACAAAAACAAATTTAATTTCAATCTGAAAATCCAGCTGTAGCAGGGCCACTAGAAGGAAAACTTCAGTCTAAAGAGATCAGCCACACCCAAGAAGACACAGGGAATGAATAATCCCAGACCAGCAAATCAAAAGAGGGGGGAAGCTCCCCCACCCATACAATAGCAGGGATCAATAAACTACTCATCGATCATTCTCAATACCAGTGGTCTCAATCCACAATAAAATACACAGAGTATCAGACTGGATTAGGAAACAGGACCAGTCTTTGTGTTGTATCCAAGAAGCTCACTTTACTATCGAGGATGGACGTTGCCCCAGGGTAAAAAGAATGGACAACCTTGAAGCAAATGGATCCAAGGAGCAAGCCGGAAGCTGTCTTCCAGACACAACTGACGTGCCTATGAACTCAGAGTCTGTGGCAGCACTTTCAAGCCAGACTGTGCAGGTTTCCGCCAGGTGAGGTCCTGCCTAACACTGGGACAGGGAAGTGGACACAAGCTCCCAGTGGACGTAAGCTCCCATCCTTAGCCAAGAAGCTATCTGCAATTGATAACCCACTGGCAAAGAGAAATCATTTTTCTTTAAAGGATCTGTCTGGGTATATCAACTCCAATTCAGGCTGGAGCGTGTGCTCAAAGGCAGTTGGTTAACAGACTCAGCGGCGTTTTGTAGCCCTTTGATATCATGCTGCTTTGTTTGGGCATTGTGGGCTTAACGGTCCCTTGTTTGATTTTTGGTTTCTGTTTTTGTAGGTGTTTTGTTTGCATTGTTTCTTCTCCTTTCGTTTTTGCTTTTTTAAAGAAAAAGGGAGAGGAAAAAGAACATACAGTTTGGTGGGCAGGAAGGTGGGAAGGATCCGAGAGGAATTTGGGGGAGGGGAAAACACGATAGGAATATATTGTATGAAATAATGTTTCTCAGTTAAAAAACTGTGAACCCACTCCCACCCTCAGGGGGAAAAAAAAAAGAAAATACAAAAGGCCTATTTTGATACCTTAGTTCAGGTTGATGTATTTACAGTTTCCGCCAGTTTGGTTCTCTTTCTTGAAGTGCCCACTTTTTTTTCCTTTTTTTTTTTTTTTTTTTGGAATTTGTGTCATAGGAAGATGTGTGCAACTAGAAATGATTTCCCTTAGTTCTCCCAGCTGTGAATACTTGTAAAGACACCACCTCTCCTCCTTTAGCCTGGGTGAGGGGGACCGACAGGACACCATCACCATCCTAACAGGATGTCTTTAAGGCGCTGCTTTTAAACTCGCCCCCTTGTGGTTACTAAGTATCAAAACATCCTGGCAACTTTGGCAACGGACCTCAGCCCGGAGGAAGCACTAACCGCTGGCTGCCCATCCTGCTGTGTGTTCGTGGCTGTCTAAAGCCAACGGGGGCCTTGTTAGTTTGTTTGTTTGCATTCCTTTGTGGCCCACAAACAGAACACTCGCGGGGCGGAGGCGGGTGGAGCGGGGTGGGGAAGGACTGGAGGAATGTTAACCTACGGCTTGTGATTGGCCAAAGCTCAACCCGCCACCTCCAGGGGCCGCCTGCGCAGCGTCCTTAGCAACCAGCCGGGGCGTCCCGAGCAAGCCAGCGGTGGGTGAGTAATTGCTAGCGCCTATCCCGGGTGACCTGGGAACTCAGGTGGCTGACTGCCCAGCCCTTTGGTAACCGGGACCACAGAAGACCCGCACGCCTGCGCTGAACTCCACCTCTCGGGAGCCCAAACCCGGGCTATGCGAGGAGACTTCTAGTCTTTGGGGACCCCACTTACCCGGGCTCGCAGCGCCAGGCCTAGAGTCCAGTTGTGCCATTTCCGCTAGGTCGTTTGGCAGAGGCAGGGTTTGGGGGACAGTAAGGAAGGGGTGGGGGCGGTGGTAACTGTGCCTGGGCTTCCTGGGTTGCGTTGCCCATCAGTCATCATCGTCTCCAGCCGTTAGTCAAACCCTCCCTTCTCCCCTTCCCCTCATTCTCCTTCCTCCCTTGTACACGTGCACGTTTGGATTTCCAAAGAGAAAATTCAAACATGGAGATCAGTGCGTGTAAGGGGCAGAGAGTAGATTAAAAACAACAACAACGGAAAACAAGCGACCTTGAAAATAACGTTCAAGTTACCAATCGGAGCAATTCCTTGGAGTGGGTAAGAGTGTGGCAGAAATCTACTAATATTCAGTTTATGACCGATGCTGGCTTCTCCGTGGTCTTTGGCCAAATTATCCTTTGCTCTTTAGGTCCATAGTTTAGGTGTTCCCCAACGTAAGAAACCTTCCCAGAGGCTGCGGCTAATTTTTGTAGGACCTCGTTCTCAGAAGTTGCCTTTGGAGCCATATATATTCTAAAGCTTGTTTTAACTGAAGCTTTAGAAGGTCGTCCAGAGATTAATAAATTAGCCTTTGGAAACAAAGATGCACATCTATGCCGGGTTGCCGATGAACTGCCAAGCAAAGAGCCTTTTTGCTGGAGTTGTTTCAGCATGAGCAATGACTCAGAAATGTTTCCATTTCCCAGGCAACTCTTTTTTTTTTTTTTTTTTTTTTTTTTGGTTTTTACGAGACAGGGTTTCTCTGTATTGTTTCGGAGGCTATCGGTCCAGTCCGGCCTCGAACTCACACAGATCCGCCTGCCTCTGCCTCCTGAGTGCTGGGATTAAAGGTGTGCGCCACCACCGCCCGGCCCCAGGCAACTCTTTAGCTTCAAGGTGAGCGTTGGATTTTCATTTTGCTGACAACTATTGAGCAGTTTCCCTACATGTACCATTCATACAATTTCCAGAAAGCTGTGTTCTAAAAAGTTCTCCTTGTTGATGAATCTGGAGAAGACCACATATCCCACTGTGTGTCATTCAAGGAGATTCATTGGACATGGGCACACACTAATTACCCCCCAAGATCTTACAACACAGCAATCTATTTAAATTTTTCAGTCCAGTGTTTCACAGATTCATTTAATCACCCAGCATTTTGAATAGATTTAGTGTAAGAGGTAATATTCCACCCTGTACTAATCACACTGTAATTTCTTCTTCTTCTTCTATAGCAACTGGGTTCATTTCTTTGTTTCTTGTTGATTCTGTACAAAGCCAACCCCCTCCAATCTTTTCAAGGCAATTGTAGCACGCCAATGACTTATTTTGCCCTCACTACTTTGTATTGCATTTTAGCAGTAACATAAGCCACTTACTACATCTGTGTTTACTGTTTGGGATAGTTGGTCTCCTGCTGTAAGATGGCAGATATTTTGTTGAAAAAGCGCCATGGTATCTAGCGTCTTGTAGTGGTGTGGGATTCCCGCCTGGGTCCTGTTGCTGCTTTAGACCCCCCAAAATGATACATGGATACTCTATTAGTTACAATGCTGTTAGCCAATGTTCAGGGCTTCTAATTGGCTAGTTCTATCTTAAGTATTAACCCATGACTGCTAATATATATTTCTATAAGGACTTATCTCTCCGAGGAGGCATCCTGATGTGTCCTCTCTTCCTTGGGATCACATGGCAACCCTGTACTCTTGACTACATTTCCCAGAATCCTCTTTGCCTTCTAATCCCACCTATCTTGCTTCCCTATTGGCCAACAGTGCTTTATTAATCAACCAATAGGACAACATATACACAGAAGGACTTTCCCCATCATTGTAGAGGCTCTATAACTGTTTGAATAACTAAAATAACCATTGATTTTCCTTTTATAATGTTTGTCTATAGAAGACCAGTTAAATGTTTTTAATAGCAGTCCCCTAAAATGCACACTGTGACCATGAGGTGATGGTACTTTTTAAAAATTTTGAATAGAATAAATAGATAGGAGTTAAAGACTAATCAATTTGGGCCGTTCAGGGAACAGGGATTTGAGAATAACTCAAATTCTTAGTTTGTGAATTTTAGATAGAAATACCAGGTGAAGATCAGTGTTTGGGGTCTGAGAGTAGGAGGTAAAAGGTATAGCTTTCTATGGATTTGTTTCCAAGATGGTGCCCAGAATCAATCTGAAAAATAAACTTTGACTTCAGGAGAAGTCAGACTGGAGGTCGAAGCCTGGGGGTGTCATCTGTCTGTAGTGTACATGACAGTATACAGCTAGATTGTGCCAACTCTAGAGTGACGGGGGGGGCAGGGGGGAGAAAACTGTACTCTGGCCACAAGGTTGATGTGAAAATGTAAATTCAATGCATCTGAAAGCGTTTTATAAGCTGTGAAGTACCGTGGAGGAGTTGGGATTATTAATTCTGGAAGGTTTCCCCGAAGAAATAGATTGAATTGGGTTTTCAGGAGTATAAGGAACATCTTAGGTGGTTGTATTTGATGACATGCAGCCCTCCCTCTTCACAACAGCAGCTTTCCAAACAGGGGTTTGTCCTTTCAAAAAGCAACACAAAAGCAGACGTCTGAGAGCTTAGTCATATTTTCCCAGCACCATCAGTGTCCCCCATGTCTGCCTTCCTGCTGATCATTTTCATCTCCATGGTTGTCTCCAGGCAGCAGATGACTTCTCTGTCACCCTTCTCTCTACCATCCAGGGAGGTAGGCGAAGCAGGAAGAAAGAGGGTTCCCTGGACTTATCAGAAAGGCAGACTTTTCCAAAATTTCCTATGCAGATGTAGAAATTACACGTGTGTGTGTGTGTGTGTGTGTGTGTAACAAAAATAAATGAAAAAGAAGACCAGTAATATGACGGTGAGTGTGGAGGGGAACACGGGAGAGTCTGGAGGGAGGAAAGGGAAGGGGAAGTGCTGTAGCGACCTTATAATTTCAAAAAGTAGAAGAAATAATGTTCAAAAATGATTCTAGCTGCCAAAGACAATTCAAAAGTCTTGCCAAAAGCAGTGAGCCAAGGATGTTGGCTCTGTAAGTCCAGGGAGGATTGTAGTAGTAAAATAGAGAACAATGAGATTCCAGAGCAAGGCCATGGTGTCTGCCACAGCAGTGGAGAAGATTTGTACATGGCGAGAACTAGGCAAACAGAGACAGTAATTTACTTGTGGCTAAAATATGGAATATGAAATAGAAAACTGTTGACCAAAATCTCTTGAACACAGATCTAAAAATTCTAAATAAAATATGAGCAAAATGAATTCAACAATATACAAGCAGAATTAATTTAGGGTCTGATACATCTGCATTTGTTGGCTTACATCTACATATCCACACACAAAAACAATACAAAACAAAAAAGCCAAACCAACAACAAACCAAACCAAACCAACCACCAGAAATCAAAACCAAAGCCCAGAGCAAGAAATGCAAAAAGTCCTACTCAGCTGTGGCCAACCGTCTTCAGGATGGGTCCCAGTGACCTTTGCCTCTTGGTATTCTAGTTCTGTGGTCACAGCTCACATGGAATTATAGCCACCAATAAATGACAATGGCCATGAACTAGTGACACAGCCCCCGTGAGGCTGTGTGTGAATGCTTCCATTTGGCTCCATGGGTCCTCTGCATTGTGGGCAGGCAGCCCCTGCAAGGGAAAGACACCCAAGTACCCACCACAGAGGAGATTCCCATTTAGGGACGGAGCCTGCCACTACGACCCGGCCTTACTCTCTGGAAGGAGTCACTGTGGTAGTGGATCTCCTCAAATCTGTGAAGTCAAATCCACCACCAGAATCCAATGGAAGCAGTGGCTGCTGTTTGACTCCCAACTTACGCACTTCTGCCTCTTCAAGCTGCTAAGAAACTCCTGGTCCAGGGCAACCATGTGAGTAACACGTGGTCATCGTTGTTTCAACACCCTTCCTTTTGGAATAATTTGTTGCGCAGATTAAATAAATAATAATAAAGTCTGCGAGTTAACTATTTTTTCCCTAGAGAACTTGAGGGTGGGTATCCACACAAAGATTGTATTTCCCAGGATCTTGCATTTCTGCCTCACGCTTCCTTCTTCCATCCTGGTTTCCATTTCCAACCCACCATAAAGTCCTCTGGACACGCTCTCCATCTCATATGGGATACATCTCTGTGGTAGTTGCTTTTTCCCCGAGTTGCTTTCCCGGAGAGACCTTGGAATTCTAATGAATAAGGTGATCTTTATTTTCTTTTTGTTGAAGTATTTGTCACTTGGAGCTCCAGTATATCAAACTAGTTGAAATGAAGCCACGTTGTTTGAAAAGCAAGTTCCATTCTCCTTTTGTTCCAGACATTAACACACAGAGGCATACACCAACACCCACGTGTACATCCATCCACACACAACCACACATAGACCAACACACATGTTACAGGATTTCATCTCTCTTCCCCGGGATCACATGGCAACCCTCTACTATTGACTACATTTCCCAGAATCCTCTTCAATTCCTAGTCCTACCTATCTTGCTTCCCTATTGGCCAACAGTGCTTTATTCATCAACCAATAAGACAAACATATGCCGAAGACATCCCCATCACATACACACATACCAACACCCACATACATACCTACACATACAGACACATCCCAACATAAACCCCAACACTCACACTCCCCACACCACACTCATGCAATCCAAACATACACACATCAACACACACCAACACCCACATTCACACTTACACACACACACACAGACACACACCAGCACATACCCCAACACCTATCCACCCCACACATGAGCGTGCGTGTGTGCGTGCACACACACACACGTTACAGACACTTACAAAGTGGAAACCTGCCCTGTAGCATGGTTTGAAATTTAAATTGAGTATTTCCCCAGGTGGGCCACCCAGGTTGTTATCACCAGAGCAGCAGACTTGCCCATGAAACACTCTCAGAATCTGGGAATACATTTACCAGCTCTGGGCATCAGTGCCCTTTGCCACAACCTTAGGTGTTAGGACAGAGAGCAGTATCTCCATGCGCTTGCAGACGCTGCCTAGCCGGTGTGGGATCCCTGGTGGCTAGCGCTATTCTTACAGCACACAGGCATTGCTCCTGCCACAGCTATCCTACTGTGAGCAGAAGCTGGGGCAGTGGGTTGGTTATTGCTTGCTGCAATACTGTATATTTATATTGAGCACAAGGGACCGCCCCATGAAACTGTTTATTATTCTTACCTTGAGGAGAACATTCATTCCATTAGAGTCTGTCTTTTTTATGGTGGCTTTGGGGAAGATGTCTTGTAACTTTACCAGGAGTAACTCCTTCTCCCGCTAGCCATTAGATTTTA